ATATTATTTATAATTTTGCTATTATCATTCTGTCGTTTGTTTGATTATAGTTATTTCAAATAGATCTGTGTAAAGGAAGAGTATAAGGTGAAATTCAGTACATTAAATTTTGATTCTTGTTCATTCCGTTTAGAATATTTAAAACTCATCAAAATTCATTACCATCTAAATGTGTTGTATAACTAAATTGAATAACCATTGAAAACTTAAAATGTGTGTGTGCATTTTCTTTAGAATTATTAAAAACAGATTTAATTAAATACAGTCATAACAATAGTTTTACTAAACGATTTTTACTTATTTACTTTTATCTAATTTCATACACAATAAATTTTATATAAATTACTAATAGTTTCAAGACCTATTGGAATTGATTATAAATATGAATAAAATATAATAAAATGAATAAATACGAATAATTCAATATTCATATCAATCAAAATATCAATAAAATCAATAAAAATAAATATGAATAAATAATAATAAAAATAAAGAAAGAAAGGAGAAATAAATTTGAATTCAATTACGAAGTCTATTTGACTCGTAGGATTGTACAGATCGAAAAGTTTGATGTTAGCCGATGGTATAATTTAACAATCACTTTGATGATAAATTGTACGATAGGATAATATACTATAGTACTCAGTATCGAACAGAATCTATTCATCTCGTATTTTATTTCTAAAAGACTCTCGAACGATCAAGCTTTATGTTTTCCTAACAGAGAACACATGAGTACGGTACCAGTCAGTTTCTCGATCGATTTGTCGAAAAAAGAGCTTTTCTTTTTTTCCCCTCTCTTTCTCGTCTCAAGGGTAGTGGTCGATAACGAGCCACTTGTGGGACGAGAAGAAAAGAATTTTCTTCTTCTCGACTTCAGTTTTGTACGTTCAATGCTTGTATCTTTCTCTCTTTCTCTTTCTCTTTGAAACATTTTATCGATTCGTTAAGAAAACACTACACAATTTGTCCTTGGCAATTGCTCAACGTACGTAGCAAGTGAAATAAGGAAAATACAATAAAGTACTCGACAAAAGCCGATTATCCATATTTATTTTTACCTGAAAGATGAGTAAGAGTTAAAGTCATGCTTGTTTATTTAGATCTATCGCACATTACGTTTATTTTACAAATATGACGAAAGAACCTTTTACCGTAGTACAGTCGAGCAAATAAGATAAAAAGGAAACAATTCGATGAAATACAAGAAATACAATTACTTTGAGGTTTTCTTTTTACTTTTTCTTAAAGTGCATACGAGCTTTGTAAACGAGATTAATCTTTTCTTGAAAAGGGATGGGGGAAGGAGAGTAAAATGCGTTTTAATCTATTTATTTTGCAGAAAACGATAGGAGAAAGAAAGAAAATTATAAGTGAATTATTATCGAGAATATGAACGGAGCATAATGACCGGATGAAAGACGTTTTCAATAATTATACATTATGCAACGTATAAATTATCGTCCGAGTATGTAATTCTCTAACGTGAAGATTATTCAATTTTCTTAACGCCGATACTCACACTCACGTTTTAACGTAATTATCCATATTATGTTTTTCATGGCTAGAAATATTTCTTTGCAGAAAGTGATACCTTTTTAGGGTTTTTTTTTTAAGATGTACATTCTTATCATATTACATATTCATATTAACAGTTTAATTAAAAGAAAAAATATACACGAGTAAATTGAAAAGTTTTGAACTTGAATAACTAGAATGGGTTGAAAAGTTTTGAGTCAACCACAAAGAAGATTGAAAAGTTTTAAACCTATCAACTTAAACCAAATACTTGTTTATATTATGTTATTTTACTTGAAGTAACATATTATTATGATATAGAAAAACGTAACAGAGTATAATCGATCGTACTTCTTAAACTTGACGAAATAAAATCAAATCAAATCAAGTAAATTAAAATATAACATTGAACAGATAACAAGCAAGAAACTTTCCAGACGACACAGATTTAACAATAAAAAGAAATATAATATAATTAATGATTATTAATAGAAGTGAAATAAAACGCAATCGAAAGTTTTGTGAAACGTTGTTGGTGATGATCATGCAGATGGAAGAGCTGATCTCGAAAAGGGTGATTCGCTGGGATATGTCGGTTCCCAATTAAACAAATGCCTGCTATGCGCAAGGCAACCCTCAGGCAGGGTGCTTTCTACCCTCTTTCTCTCATTCCATCTCTCTTCGATTTTAGATAATTCTATCTCTTTTTAGCCTACAGGAAAACAGGGGGAATCGCACGTGTCGAGTTCAGAGCATGCGAAAACCCGAGCTAAACGCATCGTAGGACTTTCTGCGTATATTTGCGCATGTGTACGCAGCTCGTTTCACCTACGGGCGCTTTTAAGACCGTTCTACTGTAACGTGCACGTATTCGTGAACTTAACCAAATTATGTATGCATCCTACCAACGGAGAAGTCACGCATGTTCATGAATCTACGCACGCATGCACTCACGAAATATATATAATTAATTCGTCTCAACCTTCGTCCAATCGAACGAACGAACATGATCCCGATGACAACCACGAAATTATTTTATACGCGTGTCTTTTTTTAACTATTATTTCAAATTCTTTATTATAAAATTTATCCTTTTCCATCTAAGTACACACATACATATATATTAAATCGTTTCGAATATGGTAATGTAATTTTTTTATTTTATATTTAGATTCTAGGACGTTTTAAATCTAATTTCTATTTTTCAGCTATTTCTTTCGTATTTATACATGACACAATTTTAATTTAAGGGGTTACATGGGTTTCATCCGGGTAAAAACGGCGTATTTTCAAGATTTTTTTTTTCATATAATATATGAAATATTTGATTCAAATTTTTTATTATCTTAAAGATACATATTTAACAAACATTTTTTGTAATTTAAAAAAAAAAATATTAAAAACTCCGCCATTGTGACGTCATTCCCGGCGAGCCCTCGGAAAAAAGGTGCATTCGCGTTGACAGCAGAACTCTAAGCGGGATCATCTGAAATGAAAAAAAAAAGTACTTGTTTTAGTTAAGGCTTCAAACTAGAAATAGGACGAAGAAAAAAAAATGAAAATTGGATGTTTGACAGCAGTTTTTACAAAAAAAAAAATAGTTGTAATTGAAAAAAAAAAATCCTTCGTCCAAGTCCTTGTAAATTGTATCTCGAAGACCTGTTTAAAATTTCATCGAGATCGGTGGAGTAGCCTTCGAGAAATCTTGACAACCGACTTTGAAAACATAGTTTTGAGAAAAACACGTTTAAAGTTTTGAGTGACCATAGAACAGGAAAAAAAATTTTTTTTCTTGACTTACATTGAATCGTCGATTCCTGGGCCATAAAGTAATGAATCTGCTGCATCTGCAATGTCCTCGGCATCCTTTTGTTCCTGTCTATGACGAATCCTGGCTTCACGAGTCTCTTTTGCAGATTTTTTCTCGGCGGCGCAGATAMGATTTTCGTCAGCATTTCGGGCATATTCGTGGGAATTTGGGCCAAGTTTTAAGTCCATACAGTGCATGATTAATAATAACGATGATGTTCCTTCATTAAAAATGCAAGCAGCAGTCAATGCAGCAATATCAACGATCTTAGAACCAACTGGAAGTATTTTTGGAGTAATTTTCCAGATCAACTGGTTGTAACTTTCGTTGCTATTTTGTGTAAAACCACCAACACATCGCTCCAAAAGCTCATCCTTACTCAGATTTTCGTAAATAGGTTTTATTGCAGTTAAAACATCATCTGGTAATGGTGTATAATCGTGTTTGAACGATGAAAGAGTGTTTGTTGCTGATGTGCTCGTGAAAGAATCATTATGCTGCTCAGGATTTTTAGGATTGAACGACTGTCTCCGTTTCTTGGGTCGATCTTTTCTACGAGCACCGTCCACTAATTGAGATCTTGAAACWTTAGGCATTTTTTAATATAATTTACTTTGGACACTTATAACCTCAAAATAAACCTCGTGGTTCAACAAGTAATCATTAAATGAAGTATTTCAACTAGTTACCCTTAGAAGATGAGAAAAATAACCAAGGACGAATGAACAATAGGCGAGAAGCTGCTCTTTTATACCTACGGCAAGCGGAGCCCAGCAGGTAGACTTGAGCGCGTAACTTTAAAAGGCTGTATCTCTGAAACTATTACTCGGATCAAGTTGAAATTTTCGGATAATATTCTAGAGATGTTGTAGATTTTAATAGGCAACAACAAAAAAATCGATTTTTTGAATCCGTTAAACCCATGTAACCCCTTAATTCGTTCGATTTTCATTTCATTTTACAATTATATGTATTATAAAATGAATCAGAGAAAATATATTTAATAAAAATATAAATAAAATATATTTAATTTAATTTATCGTCACGTAATATATACATTTTGATGAAAAGAACATCGAAGGGTTTTGAATCTTCATGGTTTTTTAAATTCCTATGCTTGAAACTCCTATGAATTATACGTTTAAGAGAATTGAAAACGAATAGAAGTGGAAAAAGGAAACGGTCGGCAAGTTGGAGAATGTTCCACGAAGCACTTTCGACTTCTTGCCGGATTACATTACGGAACCAAATATTGAAACATCCCTTGAAGGCTGTGGTCAAGCCTCTTTGACTTTCTGCCGGCAGACGACTTCGTCAGCAGTCGGCTGGCTAGCCGGTGAAAGTTCTTGTTTAATCCTTCAAAACAGCTTGGAATGTTAGCTACTGACGCACATTATTTTTTTTTTTTCAAAACTTTTCTCCTTTAATTTCATTTTAAATTATCTAAATTTTTGATCTACCAACTTGTACTTACTGAATGATTTTGATTTTCATCAACAAAAACAAATCTAACTATAAGACACAAAGATTAATAATATTTATTTCATTCTAATATGTTTATAATGATTTTTTATATTACATTTTTCATTTAATTTTTATATTTTAAAATATACATATATATAATATTATATGTAGGTTAGAACTTAAATAGTGGCAGCTATTTATTCATTTATTAATATTATACATTTAAACATGTAACTCTTTTGTATCGGTTGTGAATAAATAGTTGCTACTATTTAAGTTCCAATCTACGTATAAAGTTTCTTATTGTGAATTATTTGTTATATTGGATTTATATTTTTCACCCTGTTGTGCATTACACGGTAAGGGAATACTTCTTAATTATTAGAAGGACATTCGGAGATTGGTATACACACGTTATTATCGTCTCTAGCGTATTGATCTATACAGTAACAGTTATCGTTGCATCTCTAAAATGTAAAGTAAGAATAGACAGTTAGTATAAGGCAGAATATAGTAATGTAATTTAGTAATGCACTTACGATATTCACGATAGGACATTGTTCTCCGAGAGTACTGCACCGCGTTTGACAAGCTGAACCACACTGATATTCTTCGTTTGGTTGATTACAGACAACAGGTGGAGGATCTCTTGCATTCACTATAGCTACAATAATGAAATTTAATATTTAAATATATATAAATAAAAATATATAGTATTATATATAAAGCTGTAATATAATATAAATAAATTTAATCGAAACTTATGATCAAGAAGTTAACGTGCTCTATAATGATTGAACAATATTTGTATTGTTCATTTATTAAGACACCTATTTTTGTTTCTTTTAAAAATTTGTAATTGTTTATAAAACGAAAGATTAGTAAAAATATTAATAAAATATGTAGTAGTATTTTTGAGAACACTCAATTTTTATTTATATTTACATAAGAATATTTTTGGAATTTACTTACCAAAGAGAATAATTGTTATAATAACGAATAAAAGAGAAAAAATACGTGACATGTTCTGTGAAATAATCGTTTCTTTCCGTTTAAATTAACATTTAATACCGATCCCCGAAGACGTGATCGGTTTATATAGTTACAGCATGACTAATTTTTTGTTTACTTATCATGTATGTATAATATTGCGATCAAGCATACGAATGAAAATACTTGATAATAAAGTTATTAATCTTGATAATAAAGTGTTGACAATAAATTATCATAATTAATATAATAATAAAACTTCTTTCTAAACTACATTTGTAAATGAATAGTAAAAAATGTGGCTTTGTTGGCAAGTTAAAAATAGTTATTTAAAAAAAACGTATTATTTCTTTTTATTTTTAAAAAATAATAAGCCCACGTTTTTTCTTGTATGTAGACACATATAAAAAAACGATAATTAATAATAATTATTAATAATAATTGTTATCATTTTAATGGTACTCGTTCATCTGTATGAAATATTGCAAACCTTTTTTTCTTCTCGATAGTATTAAACTCGTTTGTTTATTTATTTATTTTTTTTTATTTTTTACACATATAAAAACAGTTATTATTACTGATTATTAATATTAATTATTATTATTTAAATAGACATTAATTAGTATTTAAAAATATAAAAGGCGTTTTTTCCCTGGTAAACATATGTTTATGCATATATGTAATCCTATATGTGGGATTTCCCAATGATTTTTTTCGTTCTACCTTCTTCAAATTTCTATTCATTCTTACTAACCAACTTCTATCTCTTTCTCAATATATATAAAAATATATACATATATATATTTCTTTGCTTGTTTTGTTAACTTATCGTTAATTATATACAAGACGCTAACGTGACGTCAAAAGAATGAGTCATAATACAACATAATAAATCACGTAACACAGATCTTAGTTTATTTCCTGTATTATGAATTTAGTAAAATGAAAGAATAGGAAGGTCAAGTTTCAGATTGAATTCACAATCAGATTAATCGAAAAAAACTAACACTGAGGCAAGATCATTGAATAAATTATCAAAAATAATGAAATAAATAAAATTATCTACAAAATTTAACTTTTTCGTAGTAATTGTGTAATTTGTTTTGTAATACTTTCTATGTTTTAAAAAAAATATTAACATAACCATTTCTGTGACATAAACAATTGTTCCAAAAACAATAAAATCTTGTCGCAATCTATTTCCAAGAAATGATTTGAAATAATTTTAACAATAAATTATATCTTTTAATATTTAATAAAATATAACATGCATTCATATTTTTATAAACATCCGATAATTTCACAAAATCATTTTTCTACGCGTCAATTAACGATAATCATAAGTACAAAGTAGTTATGATCATTGTATATAGGAGTTATTATGATATTTTTAAAAAATAAACATACTCAGGAAGTCTTAAATTTCATGGGGAAAAAATATGGAATCATTATTTAACACAACAGATAAAACGAACGGAAATATTAATTCATTCTTACGAACATTTTGTTTTGGCGTATTATTCCGAGGAAACGTTGATAAAATTTCAGCAATATGTTTACATACACAAGAATTTAATATTTCAAGTAAATTGGTAAAAAAAGTTTTGAAAATTTTAATTAATTCAAGTTAAAAAGACATGATATTACAATCATTAATTTCACAATTAATGTTATCGTTCTTACAGCTAAATGTACTGGTCGCCTAATTCTAACAATAATAATCAATTTTTTAAATATATAAATGAGTATACAAAAAAAAATTAATGAAATATATGATAAAAAAAAAGAAATTAAAAAATGTAAATTGATTTTTGCATTTTATAAATATTATAAAACATAACACATAAAATATCAATTGCATATAAATAAAATAGGTAAAACGAGCGTAGGTATTATTTATACAATTGTTAAACCATTCGCAATGAGATGACGTGCAATATACGTCAATTATTGATTCACGTAAAGACGTAAACGACGTATATGTTATGTTGTTAGATAACCGTGTCATTAATAAAATTTTGGGTGTGTTACGGTTGTCTTTGCTGAATCAATGAGTCATTGTAATTTTGTCAAAATTATTCGATTTGTATGAAATAATATTTATTTATGATTATATTGTAATATACATTTTGCAATATAATTATATTCTCAAAGTTATTTCATAGTACTTAATATAAAATATATTTGACTTCAATGTTTGAGTTCAATTAGGTATAATAATTTAAAGTATATTTTTAATTTAAATTAAACAATAATTATATACATTTGAAGGAATTGTTTTTTTGTTTATTTAAACATTTGACACATCAAACGAAACTCTGACGCATCAGGGAAATTATGTTATAGTATACTTCATATTACTTCGAAAAGTAATACAATGTTTTTGTTTATTAGAATATTGGCAGTGCTGATAAGAATTTTAACGAAATACCAAAAATTATCATTCTCAATGACGTTTAATTACTACTGTACTTGGAATTTTCCATATTTAACGAGCACCTAGCTATATTTACACGAGGAAAACCTTTTTTTTCTCTTGGAACTACGTTTATCGATTACAGTGTCGACAATTTGGAAATACAATGAACTCAGTACGCTAAATAAATTTAATCCACGCGATGATGCATCGGATGCAAATAAAAATTGATTAATTAAATTACCAACGAAATTATAAAAAAAATGTATTGAAAAAGTAATTCTTTCTAGAAAAAAATATATAAATTCAAATCTAGAAACAATTTCAAACTTTTCGTAAGAATTTATAACAAAAAATATGAACAATAAAAAAATATATCGTAAGTGGTACGATTTTGTTGATTCTTTTTTTTTTATAATTGATTAATAAAATGTTTTCTTTTGGATGTAAATGTTTGTTGTTCCAAGAATTTATATTCTTGTCAGAGAAAAAATATAAAAAATCAATTTTCAAAGAATTTGAAAATAAATTATATTCAGCCGATATTACGATTATCTGTAGCTACTATTTATTTTTTTTTTTATCTCATTTATTATATCATTTTATTATTATCCTTATCTCTTTTTTTTCTCGTTTGAACGTTTGAACGTTTGAACTTAACGCAATGGACCTRACCGATTCAAAATTCAACGACACTATTTATCTTATCCGGCGTACACAATTTACTAGTAATGTTATCATTTATCGTCTTACAAAAATTTCATGTTGAAATATTATTTAGTTTTGAATATCTTTCATCTTCTTCCAAGAATATTTAGAAAATAACGAATCAATGTAACAAAATCAAATTTTTAACCAAGTAATTATCAAATAAACGGAACTTCATGTTATTTTTCTTTTTTTTTTTTCATAATACTCACTCAAAAAACGAAATGTTTTGTATAATAAATGTTGACTAAAATTATATTTACGTGTTTGTATCGATAATGTGGCTTCATATGTAAAATTCACGTTTAACAAACCAAAATTTAAAACGGTGTAATACTAAACGATATTTACTCGAATGTAAAGAGAACAAAAATTATAATAATTTTTGTAAAGTTATTCAAATAATACATTGTAATTCATAAGACGATTGAAGAACTCCTAAAAAAAAGAGAGAAAACGAAAAAAAGAAAAAAGACTACAATCTTCACGGTTGTTAATCTATTATAACTCAAAAAAGTAGTCAATGATTTATTTCACAAACGAAATTGACAGGTAAACGTATATTTCGATGCGATCTATTAGGTACAAGGATTTCTTTCAATACGAGCCATGTGTATGTGTGCGTGCTCATGTATTTGTGTGTATGCTTTTAGTCATTGTACAAAGTGTTGAAAAATAAATGTGAATACTTCGTTTAATTTCTGTGAATTCATATATTTGTACCATTTATATGTGTATGCGTGGTGTACGTATGAGAGAGAAAGAAAAAGAAAAAGAACGAAGGGGGAAAAACGAAAAAAAAAGAAAAAAGGGGAAGAGAATAAATTAAATAAGAAAAACAAACTTAAGGCGAGTCAAAATGTGAAGAGGAATCTACGAAAGATGTGAACGATGTCAAGAGTATATAAGCCGGCTGAGACCGAATACTGCATATCAGTCTTGTTTTGATAGACCATAAGGATAGCAACCATGTCTCGCGTTATTTTCGCTCTTCTTGTCCTCGTGGCGGTCGCTTCTGCTCGTGAGTTTTTTTTATTAAAATTATTTTATTTATTTATTTTAAATTTTCATGTCAAAAAACCTGCATTATTATTTATTTCAATAATCGAGAACCGCGTTGCACGATTTCTCTAATATTTTATTTTCTATTAGAGTGTCTGATACTTTGCGTTAAAAAAAAAATAGTTTAAAAAAAAATTGACAATTTGTATCGATAAATTGTTGACGAATGGTGATCGATAAATAATAATTAATCAATTGAGAATATCTTTGCCACAATATTTTGGTGATATTAATTGAATTCAAATATTTGAGTAAAATTATAAAATCTCTAACAAAATACACTATTTGAAATAGTCAAAATATTATTAATAATTGGAAAGATCAATAATAAAAAGGAAATGTATAAAAAGTGTGAATTTCGGAGATGATTTTTAAATATTTAATTATAAGTCAAAAATGTTCTTTTTTTTTTTAGTACCATCAAACAGACAATGTAATGAAAACGAACAATTCACGACTTGTGGTTCAGCTTGCGAGCCTGCTTGTGGTGTTAGACAAAGTGAAATTTGTACTTTGGTAAATATTTATTGAAATATTTTATTATTTAATTTTATATTATTAGCTTGTATATAAACGATTAATATCACAGATGTTACATCTTATTAACTCAAACTACAATTACGATAAGATCTAATAGCACCTTTGCTATGTGTGAGCTCATCTTTGAAAATAAAATCCTTGGTTAATAATTTAAAATAACATATCTCGTTAAGTAATCACATTTAAAAATAATTTTTTTTTTTTAATCGTATAATTTGTCCACTTTCAGCAATGCATAATCGGCTGTCAATGTAAAGAAGGATTCCTCAGACAAGCTAATACCGGTGCATGTGTTAGTCCTCAAAATTGTTAAATGAAACAAAAAGGTTTTATTGGTGTAGGAGTAGTACTATGTACGCTGTTAACTATCAAAATKAATTAATTTTACGCTTAAATCTTTGCCGTTTTTACGGCATTTTATGTTATTCAAATATTTTTCACTTTTTTGATCTTATATGAATATTGTATTAATATAAATAAAATATATTATTTTATTATGTCATAGATCTATTTATTAAAACGATTCATTATTATTTTTAATAATTATTATTAGATATAAATATTACATAATGAAGACAATTTAAAAAGAAGATTTAATTCTTGGAAATAATCGAAATATTTATTAATGTTCATTTCAATCAATTGACATTGAGACTATCAACAAAATAATAATAATCATTTAATTATGAAGAATAATTCAAAGTTTTATCAATTAGAAGTGTACAGTTTATTTTAACAAAACGAAATTACATTTATCAGTATACGCAAACATAATAAATTAACGGAAGAAATGAAAAAAAGTTGTTAAGTTTATAAAGTGATAGCAACTGTCGATTACCGCGATGTTGGCATTGAAAATTATTCTAATCGTTCTTAAGAGATTATCTAATTTTCTAAGTAAGTTTCTTACGTCATTCGAATTTAACAACTACTGATTCTTACTTATGGGTAGAAATCATAGAAATATAGAAATAAATAAAAAAAAAACTAATTTATAGTAAATACAGAATCAAGAAAAATATCATTTAAAATTAAATCCTATCCTAAATGTAATATGAAAATCAAATTGAATAAAATTGTATTATTAATAAAGTAATATTACTGTGATGGATTGAAATGTTTTAATCCTAACATGAAAATAATTTATTTTCTATGATAATATCAAAAATTTTGCACCTTCGTATGCGAATTAACAAATTATATCTAAATAATTAAATTTGTTTGTTAGTTTTATTAAAATATTATTTTATTATATGATAATACTATAAAACAGCAAATAGGATTTTGAATAATTTGATTATATAAAAATCACGTTCACAACTTGTCATCACGTTTTAGATCAATAATAAAGCTTATTACAAATATCACGTACTTTAAACAAAAGAATAAATAAAGTCGAAGAGATAAGAAAGGAGCCAAAAACCTAATCTTTTTTTTTAATTAACAAAAGTAACACACACACACACAGTTAGTGTCAATGTAGAACGAAGGATCACATGAATTTATAATACTTGTTGTAATTTTTAAGTCAACTTTCGATATGAATATTTAAAAAAAAAAGAAATTATGGAAAAATTCTTCACATTATTTCTCAGAATGATTATATTTTTCATTCGTAAATATGAAGATTTTATTGAACGTAAAAACTGATTCGTCTTCAACGGATTCTAATCAATGAGATGTTAAAGTGCATGGCCTAAACACATCGTATCGATAACTAGTGGATACTAACGGATAACACCGTTTAAAATAGAGCATAACGTCAGGAGATAATAAAATTATCCCGAACATTTTGAGATTTGAAGAACTTTGTCAATAAAAAATCATTTCTTCTTGTATGCTTAGATATTTCTTAGCAGATGAACAAAATATAAACTCGACGGATATAAAGTTAATTAATCTTTCACAATGTCAAATAAACGTTCGATTTACAATCATATATTTTCTTTATTTAGCACAAAATATATAATTATATATGTAAGATTAATAAATGTATATGGGATTAAAATAATCGATATAATATTAACACTTTATCTATCGATAGCAAATTAATTTTCAATTGTCATCTCTTATTGATCTGATCGGTAACATAAAATATGAAAAAAAAAAAAAATAAGAAAAAGAAAAGAATTAAATAAAATATTAAATAATTTTTTCAAACAAAAATAATTAAAAAATTAAATATATTTTAAAATAATAAATCGATTTTATAATTTGTAGATGTACTTTAAGTAAAATTTAAATATTAATTAAATAAGTTTAAATATCTCTGTTTAAGTACAATTAAATTATATGAATGTTTTATTTTTGTATTTTTCTTCAAGCAATGTAAATAACCAGAAAGTAAACGTTTTTCGGTAGATCACAAAATTTTCAGGTCTAAAATGTTCTTCTAAAAACAAGAATAATGGAAGGTAAATCGTGGCAGAAATCTGCAAGATTTGCTGCATCATCCGTTTGCTTCTTAATGCTACTACCGTAAATCCGTTACTTAATCGTCTAACATAAGATCGTTAAATTTAAATCAGGAAAACTAGGTAAATTATTACGATGATATATATATCTGATCGTGCTCGTAAAAACACATGACACATTTTTAGATAACGAGACGATTCACGTTCTATGTATAGAAGAAAAAAATTTAATTCAATTGCATGATTCACATATGTGATTCATGCATATCTTATTATTATATATAGGATTTAAAAAAAAAAAAAAGGTTATTTTTTGTATTGACAAAATGTTTTTTATTTCATCGATTCAATATTGCTCGATTTATAATCTATCTATTTTAAACAAATTTTTGTAATTTTATTTAAAAATTCAATATAAAAAAAAAATTCCATGTTAAATCATTGAAAGAACATATATATGGAAATATTTTAATCCATTTCAGCAATCTTTCGTCAAAACGCAATCACCGTTATCGTTTTTAACAAATCCATCTTTACAACGGCATCCAGAAACGCAAAGCTGTAAAATAAAGAACAAACAAAAGCAGAAAATTAAACGATTGAATTTGCCTGTAGTTCGTGAATAAAAAATCTGAGAAAAATCTACAAAAAAAAAATTAAAATTTTGTTTCTCAAATTAAAAAATGAATAATAGCAAAAGAAATTTGATGGAAAAATAATATTCTTTGTTTATTCAAAAAAGAAAACTACGAACGAGTAATCTCATAAAATAATAAAGAATACACGAATGACCTTGATAATATGAAAGATAAAAATAGAAAAGTAGGAATAAAAAAAAGGGTGAAAAATTCTATTTTTAAAATATCCGTGTTGTTTGAATGTAAAAAAACAATATATATATGAATGGATACATTTATATTTCTTTTCTCGTATATCTCATTCTTTATACAAACTGTTTCAAGTGAACAAGAACCGACGAGTAACAACACTCACCAAAATGCAGACATCTGGAGAAGGTTTTTTGCAGGTTGGCGGGCATGCCGTTCCGCAGGTGTCAAATATTTGGTTAGGACCGCATGCGGGTCTCTCGGGAGCGGCAGCTAAACAGAACAACAGAAGTGACAGGTTGTTTCGCGAGTCCCTTAGTTAAAATATATATACACACACACACGCATCAAACATATAGACACGATCGACACGGTTCTTGTAGATTTTTCACTCGAATTTTTTTTTTTTTTTCTCTTAAAACCACGAAGCCTAAATACCAGGAGGGCGTTCGACATAGGAAAATAACTAGCAAACGCGACTGGAAAGAAAAGGAAAGATCATTTTCGGAAATACACCGCTAGGATTCGTTATGTTCGCTAATGTCAAGTTTATAACGTCATATTTTTCATTGACAATTGTTGACAACACTGCATCATTAGCAATTGTATTAATGTTTTTTTAATTTATAAAAAGTAATATTTATTTACAAATGGTGAATAAATGTATTGTTCACGGGTGTACAAGTGGACGAGTCAAGGGTCGTAATAAGAATGCTAAATTAAATCAGAGAAATACGTCTTTATTCACTTTACCACAGATAATATAACCTTAATTGATAGTTATTATTGATATTATTGATGTTATTATTTAATGATGCAAATGGTAAAAAGTCTAGTCTTGTAAAAAGTGCAATTTACGATAATAAATTACAATTTACTTTTAATTGGATTTTTTTAATTTAGTTTTCCATCCTTTACTCAACTGCGACTAGGTAAGATGAAATTGAATAGATTTACACAACAAGTTGACGATAATAACTTGGAAATAATTGTAAAATAATAAAAAATTTTCTTATTGCTATTTTTAACGTTAATTATAAGATTAGGTTAATTTATTTTGACTAACGCGTGAGTACAATTGTTACATTCCCACGACAATAAAAAAGATTTTAAGAACCTGATATTAGCCACACTAACGCGCTCTAGTGGCAAAATATCTGTCCCGTCATTTTCAAACATTTCTAATACATTGCGATCGCCCTCCTGTTATCTAGGCTCCGTGTTTAAAACATTGATCAAACCAATAGAGTAAAAAAAAAATAAATAAATAAACCACTTACAAGTGTTGTAGATTATGCCAACGAGAAGAACCAGAATGATCAGTTTGTTCGACATCTTGAGATACGATCGAAATAACGTATTGTTTTTTTTTATTCTTTTCTTGTTGTACTTTACCGATTTAAGATTTTTCTGATACTGATTACGTTCGAACGAGCTCTTTATATATATATATGAAATGGAAATTTATCGCGTTATCGTTCTTCTTCAGAAAGCTTATTTTCAGTATTTCTTACGTTTTTTTTTCGTATTATTTATAGTCGTACGATATACTATAAGCTTTTGTTTTTTTCATTCAGATTTCATTCTGTTTGTTCTTTATTTAGTATTATTTTGAATATACTGACATTTTTATATCGACTGTCTGGAATAACATGCAAGGTAATTTCCAAATATTTAATGATCATTAAAAATAATAGAATATACTTTTTATTATTGTCGAATGTATATGAATAATAATAATAATAGTAATAATAATACCATCCGATAACAAACAACTAATAAATAAATAAAACAAAATAATTTTAAACTTCGTTAATGTTAAAAAATATTTTTGTATTAACTCATCATAAAATGAAAGATAAATCTAATATAATTATTTTTTATGAAAAGCGTATTTTCCAAACATAAGTTCCAATAATACTCATGCGATAATTTCCAATAGAGAAACATGGGAAAATAATAGTCTCTATTATATGAAATAGCCTGTGGATAACCAACGAATCACGTTCGAACCCTTCCGAAATCCCGCTTGATTCGGGCATCGAAGCCAAAGCCGGATTAAACGCACGGCTAAACATCTTTATTAATTAAGGATACGGTTAATAACTCGCGACACGAAATCGTACCATTCGTTACAACAGAGATTCTCCCCTTCCCGATTCGCAAGAGAGAGGGACTCTTCAAAAAAAAAAAAAAAAAGAGAAAAGAAACCCGGAACCCTATCGTAAAACGATTTGTCACTGACGAAATTTAACAGGATATTAAGAGGTGCGTAAACTCATCAAAAAGAAATCTAATGCGATAGCCAATGTTAATTAGTAATCTGAAAAAAGAAGAAAAGAAAGAAGGAAGGATTAAATTGAAAATCGATTAATACGAGGAGGAGATTAAAAAATACGTCGATTCGAAACATCTCGAAAATCTTTCGACGATAAAAGAAATTATTTTCTCTTCCGAGGCATATTATTTCAAAACGAATAACAAAACTAAATTATCTCCAATTAATTTTAACGATTTGTCGATGATGACAAAATATTGACATTTTCTTTTTTTTTGTTTTGAAAAATAGCAAACAAACGATCTTGTCGCGAGATATCTTTTCTTCTTTCTCTTTTTACGAGATAAATTGAACCCAAAAAGAAAAAAAAACAAAAAAAAAAAGAAAAGAAAAAGAACGAATAAGAATGTGAAATTGTCTTATGAACGTTATTAGATGGATATTAAATTTCTATCTCCCCCTTTTTATAACCAATAAATCGTTTCTCACGAAGGAACCAACCCATCGCAGTCCTCAACCCTCTTTTACACGAAACTTGGAATAATTTTTACATAAATAAGGTGCTTCCGAATGATTCGCTCTCTTGTTTCTGAGATTGCAAGAAAGAAGAAGAACGTCGAATACGTTAAAGCAGCGGGAGAAAGTTTTTTTTTTCTTTTCCATAAAGGAATGAGAAAAAAAAACAAAAAGAAAAAGAAAAAAAATAATATAAGACACGATTTGTTTGGGCTTTTATATTCGATTGAAAGAAAAGAGCTCGGGGAAAGGTAAAAAAGGAGAATATCGTTTCAAATAAACAGACATTGACTGTGATACGAGCAAATATATCGTCGATACGACGCGATCGTATCGACAAGCTGTTGCACACGTTATTTTACAATACTCTGCTTTAAGAACATTGCCATTTGCAATAAGGTAATGAAAGAAAGAGACCGAATATATAATTTATAGCAAATCGGTGGAAATTAAAATGCAAGATAACAAAAAAAAACACAGAAATACCTGACATGTTCCTTTGGATGAAGGTAAATTGAATTGAAACCGAAAATCCCCATTTGTGTCACTGCTAGAATTTAATTTATCCGAAAGGCAGCCATTAAATCGAGAAACACGAAATGTGATTCGTGCGAAAAAATGGGAAAAATAAAAAAAAAGAATTTAATTTGATTAAAATTGAGAAATCATCGTAAGCGTTGATTATGACAAAAATAATTTATTGATTCAGCAATCGATGAATCAAATTTTGACATCGATGTTGAAGATAGGCATAAATCTATTTATGCGTATTAATCAATTAATTTGCATAATTTCTCGAAATTTAATTTGCATAATTTCTCGCGCTATGTGTAATTAAAACCAATCAACGACGTTAAGTATTATTAGAATTACATAATTGACTACATTATTTCTTGTAAAGATTTATTGTTAAAAAACAAAAAGAAATAAAAAAGATGCCTGATTTAATAAAAATATGCGAAACGAACGGAAGAAATGAGAGTAATTAAACATATCCAACTAACGTATAAGATTATTTGTATCAAACTCGTACGACAATAAAGGGCTTCTTCGGTAGAGTGGAATTATTATGCACGCGAAATGAGAAGAACTTTATATCCTCCCTGGTTTTAATTACTCGATGCTTCCGTTTTAATCGTCCTTTCGTTTGGACACGTAGACACGAGAGAGAGACGTAGAAAGAAATAATTATTACAGCCCCTTCGAAGACGCAACCCGTCGTGCTTACTCGCAAAACGTTCGAGCGGTCTGCAGGTGCACTGCACAGCACTGAAAACGCCTCAAGTACGCGACGCAATGTCGTCGGCTTGCTTGATTCTCTTCCTTCCTTCTCTCGTAAATTTTCTTAAATTATTATCATCATCATCATCTTCTTCTTCTTCTTGTTCTTGTTCTTCTTCTTCTTCAATGGTGACAGAGACTTAGTGCTTAACAAATCAACCAAATTTACATTTAGTTTCCTAATGATATTCTCATACCGTATATTTCGTTTCTAATTAATGTACCCAATTTTCTAATTCAACACAATCGAGTTTCATTATTCATTTTTAAATGAATTCATTTCCATCAACATGGTTATAAAAGAGAAATAAAAATGAGAAGATTTTATTCAAAGATAATGAAATTATCTTAAACAGCTGTTTCTTTTCAACACTATAGTTTTTTTCTTTTTATATACAATATTATGGAGTACGGTATATTCTCGAATAGCATTTTAATTTTTAGAAAAATTAATATAATTTCAAATTGTTATATATCAATTTTTGTTTATCTTTTTTAAATTACCTTAACACAATTTTCATAATTATTATAAATAGCGAAAAAAAACAATTGTATGAAATAAATTTTATATTTATGATACATATATTATCGCTATTATATTTCATCTAAGTTAAAAAAATAAATGCAATTTTGTAAAGCAGATTTTTAACGTTATTTTCTATTATGTCTATTATTCGACAATCGTATGGAATTGAATTCTGAGAAGAAGAACTCGATGGTCGAGCTTGATACTCCGTTATCCAGTGTATCGTCCGAAACGTTTTGGGGAAATTCGCGACACTTAGGAAAGTTTTCTACTTCCATTAGGAAGATTGAAAAGCTTTGAGCAGGGTTTTTCCGAAGTGTCGAACGCCGACGATAAAACGTTTTAGTGCTATTTCGTGGAAAAATCATGGAGTAAGTAAAAAGTAGAAGATTAAAATAAACTCATCTGTTCGTGGTGGAGTAGGAGAAATGATTTAAAAAAGTAGAAAATAAAAGAAAACAAAAAGTGAAAGAAAAACGTGGGAGAATTATTCCAAAGTATTATTGTATGTCATTTTTTCCGAGAAAAATAAATGAAGAAAAAAAAAGGTTGAACACAAGATTCCAGAGTCGAGTACATCCACGTGGATCGTAAAAAGGGCTGTGCCGCTCGATGAGGTCCACCTGCAATACGACGAACGCGGTGATAAAATTTCAGGGAGCGCCTGTTTACGGTTACCAAGGAAACCTGCCAACCGGTAGGTAGCCATATGCGTGAGTTACAACGTACGAGGGTGTTCGTCCGACTACAACGATCCTTCTCTTTTCTCCTATCAACCCTTTACGATAAGGGATGATCGACGTACGCACGACTTAAGTGCACACAGATATTTTTCTTCACCACTGAATTCAATTAAATTTTACTATATTATTCGAATGTGACTAATCGTAAATGTGTTACTTTGAAATTACACTACGTTAAGTGAAATCAAATAAATCGAGATTTTTTCAACGTTAAATAAAATCAAATTTGTCAATATTCAATTTTGACTTTAATCCATCAGCACAAATGTTTAAATAAATATTTGTTTTATTTTTTTAAATTAAATTAATGTTTATAAAAAACGAAATAAATTAAAAATAATATTCTAGAAAAGTCTAAAGAATGTTAATACATTTCTTTTTTGCAGATGTTTTAATCAACGATAACGTTGAGATAAAAAATTCACTCTTCAGTGACTATTAGTAAAATCCACTATGCCGATGAAAGGTTAAAGTTTTATGACGTTACAGTGAATCAAATGAACTGATTCAAATGATATTTTTTTTCTTTTACCAGTATTTAAATTCACATATCCACATAACGTGTTTACTTTGAAGACGCGCGACCTTGCAGAAATTAATTAAATAAAATGAATTTAAATTA